AAGAATGGAGGTTGCTTCAAGACCATCGGATTTACATTTAATTTGGAATATGGATTGAACACTACTAGAAATTCATTTAATACCAATAAAATAATTCTGTCAATAAATTACAATGATAATTACCTATGAACACTATTCAATTCATAATTTAGTCCATAATTTAGTGGAACCTTAGTCGTGTATCATTTGGAAGCCTGGATGCCCTTGGAGAAGAGCAAATGGCATAATTAGCCGGCGGTCGTAGAAGAAGCAACAATTACTCCCTATGGGTTGTAAGAGAATTAGAAGAGGCCAAGTTTCCAAAAGACTTTGCAAGGGAGACATTAGACAAGGATCTAGTCATTAAATGGTGTCCTCAATTACATGTTTCTGGAGCACAAATCTATTGGGTGCTTCTTTACTCATTGTAGATGGAATTCAACACTTGAGACATTGAGAGATATTGTTCAAAAACCCTTTAATTAATCGATACGATCAATAAAGTTTAAACACTTACATAGTGCACATAGTTAATCCCTTATCAAAATTAATAAACACACTAAGTACTATATTTTCATCATTAACGACCAAACTGATATGAAGAGTCAATACAATCACTGGGTGGATCAAATAACTTTATTGGATTGGCCGTATCATCATCTTTTGGCATATGATGTGGAGTTAAAAAAGGCTTAGGAGGCATTTGTAAGGATTCAACATCTGATTCAAGCATCTTCACAACATTAGGCATCGATGGACGATCATTCGGCCTCAATTGTATGCACCATAATGCCACTATAATCATCTTCTTTGTTGTTTCTTTTCCTTCCTCCGTGGCATGATCTCCTAGTTCAACATCCTTTCCTTCACTAACTTGGTCATAAATCCAGGAAGGGAAGTAAATCTGACTTGAATGATCCGCCAATGGATTCAAGTTCTTCCTTCTTCCAATCATTTCCATTAATAGCATTCCAAAACTATAGACATCAGATTTGTGAGAGACACCTCCAATATTTTTGTAAAATAGTTCAGGAGCCATATATCCTATTGTTCCTCTAGCTGCAGTAAGGGGCACAATACTATTATTTGTCGGGTATAATTTTGCTAGTCCAAAATCTGAAAGTTTTGGAATAAATTTTTCATCAAGAAGAATATTGTGAGGCTTGATATCAAAATGCAAAATTTGCATATCACAACCTTTATGTAGATATTCAATTCCACGAGCCACTCCAAGAGAAATCTCGTACATTTTTTCATTGCTCAGTGAGATGCTACCTTGTCGAGAAACAATGTACTTATCAAGAGACCCATTAGGCATGAACTCATATATAAGAGCACGCTTTGAACCCTCGACAGTGAAGCCTATGAGTCGCACGACATTGACATGGTAAATTCTTCCAATGGTGGCAACTTCATTGATAAAATCTTGTCCATTGGCTTTTGACTTGCTCAAAATTTTTACCGCTGCAAAACTGCCACTGCGAAGCTTTCCCTTATACACTAATCCAAAACCTCCTTCACCCAACTTGTTTTTAAAATCGTTGGTTATCTTTTTAATATCTGAGTAAGAATACCTTACTGGCATGAGATCATTATCATGACTTTGCAAAAACTTTTCAATGTTGTCATACATGGATAAATGTCTTCTTCGCCATTTGTAGACCAGGAAGATTATAAAACATGGAAGCCCGCATAAAAATAACAGTACATGATATATCGCTGCATAAATATATCACAAGAACAATCAATGATGTAAACAAATAAATTTTTTTTGTTATTAGATTTCCACATCTTTTTTTTATCTTAATAGAAATGTGACTTTCATTATGTTGCAGAGTCCTTTCCAATTTAACAGTGTATCCATGAAAGCATATTTTTCTCAAACAAACAAATTCTTATCATAAATTTTTTTTTTGTATTTCATTTATTTTAGGGTGTGTATATGTGTGTGAGCATACACATAATTTGGCCCATGTTTTCCTTTAAATTTTTAAATTTTTTATTTTATCCTTTAGCATTTATATTTATTTTCATCGGTAAAAGTCTTTAATATGAATATTTTAACTTCTAAATTTGTGTAACTGCATTCTATTTCTTCAATTCTAAAAACTGACTCCCTCAAAGCTCTAATAAATACCTTCTAAAAAAAGCTCTAATAAATATCTTTTGAAGATGCAAACATAATAGTATTTATACAATTCTATGATACGTAATAATATAAAATTTTAAAATTCTCGGGCGATTATATGATTAAAAGATTTTCTTTCCATTGTAGTGAAATCATTATTTATAATTGAAATAAAAAACTATAAGAATATTAATATACATAATTAATTTGAGGCAAAAATAGTATAAATTTGATTTGCCGTTAAAAAAATGAAATTGTCAAGAATTAGATAAGAAATATTTTCGATTTGAAGGACTTATTTTCAACAACTAAACTGATGGGAATAAGCAAAAGCTAATTCTAAGGGATAAAACCATAATAAAGTATCAAAACTTGGAGATAATTTCTAGCACTTAATTTTCTCTCTTTTTTATTACTGGGTCATGAATAGTGCTTGTCTTAAGGTGAATTTGTTGTGCGTCTGATATACATACATTTATGTGCATCACAATTAGTCCAAATAAGCGAAGTAAAATACTTACCAATGGCGTGTAGCACGGCGAGCAAAACTATGACAGATTCTAATGTCTGATACGAAGAGATGGTCACATTAACATAGCCTGCCAAATAAAAACAAGAGGACAACCGGAAAAAAAATAAGAAACAACACAAAATATTAATTATATAATAGTAATGTTAAGGATAGTTGGAGTTGCTTCGGACACCTGCGATAGACGCTGCCCAACTCAATTAGCCCCATAAGTTTCAAAAATCCAGTTATGCTCACTCTCTCTTAATCAATAGAGAAATAATTAAACATTAAGATTTGAACTTAACTCTCTGTTAATTAAAAGGAACTGAGAAAAAAGATGGATAAGAGAAGAGGCATCCTAAAAGAGGAATATTCAGTGTATTATTTGTTTAACAAGAAGAACAAGAACTTTTAAAAGAATTAAACAGATCTTTTTAATTCTTACTCTCTTTATCCAATCCATCATTCCCCTTATTAGGAGGGATGGATTAGAAGAATGGTGGATGATTAAGATGAGAGATGTAACTTACCATTCATCTCATGTTGCCTGATAAGTGAGCAAAAGGATGAAAGGATGAAGATCAATAATTCATCCAAATAAAAAATAAAATGAATTGCAAAGGATTTGAAGGTGAAGAGACACTCCATCTAAATCAGAAGGCTTAAAAATAATATCCAATACTTTCTTAGATCCTTATCCTGCTTGCTAAATGAAAGATACATTCAATCTCTCTATCCTAATCATTTCCCTCTCATCCATCATTCCTAATCCGTGAATATTTCACTAGTCTTTGAAAAGAAAAACACAAAAAAAACCTAACTAAGAAGATAAAACATTTAAATAAATCCTCGAGAAATTTCCCATATACGTGCAATCTTTCAATCTTTTAAAGTTCCATAGTTTTATAAAACTACACAATCACTGGCTTTGGTTAGTAGTAAGAAGAACATTGAGAACATGAATATTAAGATTAAAATGTTAGAAAATAATATAAACTATATCTTAAAATTTTATCTAACAACTTAAATTATTGGATTGACATGATTTTTTAACATGATATCAGAACTTTGATGACCAAAAGGTCACGAGTTTGAATCTCAAAATTTCTATTTATTTGATAAAAATTAGACAAAAAATAATATGAGTCTGTGAAAGTTTCAAGTCTAAAAATTTTTCACTTGATGAAGTGTGTTATAAAATAATATAAATTATATCCTGAAATCTTACTTAACAACTAAAATTATTTGGTTGAGATGATTCTCTGATAAGAAAATAGCTTATGCAATACGTAACTAACTAGGAGGAATTTACAAGGACCATATTGGCATGAGGTTTGTAGTATAGATGATGTGGTGGAGAAGTGTAATAAACTAGTGTAGGATAAAAGTGTCGAGAAATATGTGAAGAGATTTGAAGAACTCAAATCTTTCATAATTGTTTTAAATCCATCACTACCAGAAAGTCTTATAACATTTCTAGCTTCGTAAGTGTACTCAAAGATGACATCAAGCCAATGCAAAAGATCCCAAGACCAACAATCTTGACGCAAGCTTTTGATCTAGTTAAATGGCAAGAGGAATTCAATAATACTTGCCAAGAAGAACAGATTCATTCTGAAAATTGTTCCTGACATTGGTATGAGCAGACAACTAACTAATCTAACCATTCTAAAATAGTAGTGTCACATAGTTCAAAGCAACATCTTATTAAGACTTCACATGAGCAGATCCAGGGGAGGCAAAGGCAATGTTTTAGATGTGAAAAGAAGTATGCACTTGAAAATCAGTGTAATATGAAAGGAATACATATGATATAGATGGGGTAGAAGAGGAGAGGGAAGAGTTTATGGATGCGGAAGAAGGTAATAATGATGGAATTACAGCCGAAGATGATAAAACTAAAGAGTATGGTCTATCTTTAAATAAATTGGCTGATAAATATGCACTTAACACTATCAGAATCGAAGAGAGATGTCAACGAAGAGATATTGTCATTTTGACTGACAATGGCAATATATATTAAAAGAAATCAAAATAGTTGTTGAAAAGATCACTATGCTTGCTGTTACTATAGCCAATGGAAATTTAATGTTTATAGTCCCAGATTCAAATAGTTTATGCAAGAATATGAGCATCAAGAATATTTGAGGGTGATGAAATTTAGAAGATCTGACATGGTGCTTGGGGCCGTAGCTCACCAATTTTGTTTGACTTCATCAAACAAAATTATTATTCATAAAGGATGGAGGGATAATTGAGTTAAAAGGATTATAGAAGAGGCTTAGATTAAAGATGATCACAACATCAAAAGAAGCACTGTATGGTTTTGTGGGATAATTGTTTTCCCATTAATTAAAGTGTATAAAGAAACCAAACAAACAGTGCATAACTCACAAGTAAAGCATTATTAGAAGAATATGATTTATTATTTGCAAAACCTAAACACCTTTCATTTGCTAGGAGATTTGATCATGTGATTTCTCTAACACCTGGAGACCTTATAATATCAGACCTTATTATAGCTTATTTATGCACAAAAAAGAGATAAAAAGTATGGTGAAGGAGATGTTGTGGAATAAAATTATACAACACAATTACAGTCCATTTACCTCTCAAATATTGATGGTAAAAAAAAAAAAAAGAATAACACATGGAGATCTTATGTTGAATACATGCAACTAAATAGTTTTATTATAAAAAATAATGTAACAATCTACAGAAATAGAAAAGTTACTAATAAATACTTGTTTAAGTTTAATATGCAAGCTAATGATCTATGTATCCCAAAGTAATTAATCCTCACGTCTAATCTAATATGCACCTTGTTTGGAGAGAGAAAAATTCTTACCAAGGAATCCATCTATACAAGATACCAGAAAAGCTGGAAAAAAAAAACAATTGTTAAAGATGTGTTTTAGAAACATGAAACTATTTTTCTTTTTATTTTTTAGTTTTTCTTTTCTTTTCTGATAAAAAATTATAAAATATGTTCAATTGTTAAAAACAAATATTTATTTTTTTCACCAAAAATAAGAAACACATCAATGCTATAAATATTTTCCATAAAAATCTCAAAACTATAATTTATAATTATCTTATATTTGTGATAATCTAATTATAAAATATTAATTTTATTTCAATAAAATAAAAAATTATTTGTAAAAAGCCGCCAACTCAAAAAAAAAAATTATATTAGTTTTTACAATAAAAGATAAGTATGCCATACTAATTAAATTAAATATGAAAATGAAAAAAAAAAGTTTTAATATTTCACTTTCCTAAAACATTATTGTATATAAAAGAAAAAAAACTGTATTGTTTGTCTTTTCTTTATTTGAAAAACCTTGTAAATAAAAACTATAGATAACCTCTGAAATCTGTTATTCAAACTTTGATGTTTTACATCCTTTTTATTTTCATTTTCACAATCTATAGAAATAGAAAAGTTATTAATAAATACTTGTTAAGTTTAATATGCAAGCTAATGATCTATATATCCCAAAGTAATTAATCCACACGTTTAATCTAATATTATGCACCTTGTTTGGAGTGTGTTTTACCAGAAAACTTACCAAGGTAAGCGTCTATACACCTTCCCAGAAAACCTGCAATATATATATATAAACAATTGTTAAAGAGACTAGGAGTGTGTTTTAGAAACAGAACATTATTTTTATTTTTCATTAATTTTTAGTTTTTCTTTTCTTTTACAATTTTCTTTTTTAATAAAAAAAATAAAGAATGTTACCATGTGTTAAAAACATGTAATTTTTCACCAAAAAAATAAGAAATACATCAGTATTAAAACTATTTTTCATAAAAAATTCAAAACTATAATTTTAATAAAAAAAATAAAGAATGTTAACCGTAATCTTAATATTTTGTATTTGTGATAATATAATTATAAAATATTAATTTTATTTGACTCAAGTTAAAAATTATCTTTAAAAAGTTGTGCCAAGGTAATTGGTATGTAAAAGAGAAGGAGAGTCTTAAGTGATATTTAGCATGTAAAATTTAAATTACTATACAGAGAAATAGTTTTAAAAGATTTTTTTTTTAAGTTAGCATAATTAATTAAAAATATTGCCAGAGTAGCACAATTAAAAAAATAATGAAATAATATAATTTTTACATGTCATAATTAAAAAATATAATTTTTATAACTTATTATTATTTAAAATAACGATATTTTTTAAAAAGTTATTAAATGAAAAGAAATGAGAAGAGATGAAAGAAAAAATAAATCCTAAGAAGGCATCAAAACTATGACATCAACAGTACCATAATTTTTTTTAATAAGTTAAATTTAAAAATATATAAAAAAAATCACCAAAAATAACCCATGTGGGTAATAGAAAGGCACAAAATTATTACATTTGAGAGACAAACAAAAAGATATGTTTCATATGTAATTGGTGAGGGGTGTTTAAAACTACAACTACGCACGGGAGTTAATTTGTAACCTCTGTTATAATTAAAACAATAATATTTGCCTTTTAATTTCACCAAATGTCTATATCTATATTTAAAAAACATAAGAGAGAGAGAGAGGTGTTAAGAAAAAAAATTAAAATAATCAAAACGTTATCTGGAAAAAGAAAATGCCTATGAAAACTCTGTTTTAAATTTTTGGAGCAGAGAAAGCATACTGTTTGTTACCTTTGGAGCTAGTTAAATAGAATATCAATAAACATATATTGGATAATATATGTTAATTTTCCATGTAAACAATAACAGCAATGTGAAGGAGCTTCTTACCTATTGCACGTCTAATTATGGTACCGACGTCGTCTGTTTATTAAGAAAAAAGAAGTCAAATTAAAATAATTGATTTAAATCTAACGATAGTATATAAAAAATTTCAACGAAATAAATCTAATAATATTAAAAAAATTATTAACAATAACACGAGAAGATTACATTTACTGTCCAAATACAAAGATGGTCCACATGTTTTTAGTGTTAAGTGTGACTCTTTTGATGACTTTATTTGATATTATTAGATTTATCTTATTAAAATTTTTATAATAATATTAGTAATATTGTAATCAGAATTTTAATATATTTTTAAATTTTTTTAATTGTTTTTTCCTGCTTATATAATATTTTTTAAATGATATGGCCATTATAAAGGCTAACAAGCTATAAAAGTTATATTTTTCAATTATAACATATATAAATTATACTATTTTATTAGTTTTTTTTTTCAACCATGTTATTTTGTCTATTCTTCTAAAAAAACAAATTGCTAAAACCAAAACATACCCTTTAAAAAGTTAGTTATAAAGCGGTGAGAGAGAGATACAAAATTATTACATTTGAGAGAGAAATAAAAAGATATATTTCATATGTATATTTAAAGGTATAGTATTGGTTGCTTTTCAAAATGCTTTTTATTCTAAAATATATTAAAATAATATTTTTTTTATTTTTAAAAAATTATTTTTAGCATTAGTGCATCAAAATAACATAAAAATATAAAAAATATATTAATTTAAGGTAAAAAATAAAGAACTTTTAAATTTTTTAAAAAACGCTTAGAATGTAATTTGGTGAGGGGTGTTTAAAACAACAACTACGTACGGGAGTAATTTGTAACCTCTGTAATAATTAAAACAATAATATTTGCTTTTTAATTTCACCAAATGTCTATATCTATATTTAAAATACATAAGAGAGAGAGGTTCAAGAAAAAATTAAAATCATCAAAACGTTATCTGGAAAAAGAAAATGCCTATGAAAACTCTGTTTTAAATTTTTGGAGCAGAGAAAGCATACTGTTTGTTACCTTGGAGCTAGTTAAATAGAATATCAATAAACATATATTGGATCATATATGTTAATTTTCCATGTAAACAATAACAGCAATGTGAAGGAGCTTCTTACCTATTGCACGTCTAATTATGGTACCGACGTCGTCTGTTTATTAAGAAAAAAGAAGTCAAATTAAAATAATTGATTTAAATCTTCTTAAGAAATTAATTAGCATGCAGAGAAACCAAGCAATATTGGAGCATAATTAATTTTTATTTCTCTATCATCACAACAGAAATCATTATTGACTTGTAGAAGATTTCTTGCAAGTTTTTATCAATATAAAATAAAGCAAATACGGTATCGATAATCACAATACAGTACCGGAGGTAAGCAGAGAGAGAGAGAAAATACGTACCGTTATCATATCCACAATAGTTGTTCCTGGTGGATTCATCAAGGTCGCAGCGGTTCTCTTTGACAGAATGACAACAGGCCGAAAACCATGAAAGCTCGAACCCTTGTACCAAAACATCATGGACATCTATGTAGGACATATTGGTCACATTTTCTGGCAGAAGAAATTCAGGCACAATATAAATCAAATTTATACGGCATAAGTCCGGTAAATCTTGCAACTGCCCATCAACAATGACATAGGAATGGCCTTCCTTGATGCAGCTGGGAGAAGAGATACTGCTAGACGAAGAAGAATTATATGCAGTACTACTGCCATTTTTGCAAGATGAAGTATCCACAAAATCATATGGAGGATGCAGTATTTGATTTTCGCAACATATAAAAGTTATCAATACTTGATATCCAATATTATAACGTCGATCATAATACGCCGAGGGCGACGAATTTCATATAATAGAATGACGAGGGATGGAGAAGCAATCATCCTTCTGAGCACCAGCTTCCACAAGTCGAATTGTGAAGTAAATGTAATCGATTGCCATAACATAATATTTTACCATGCTCAAGTTTAAAGTTGGGCGTACGTTGTTTTCACAAACAAGTTCATAACTTTTGTTGCCGCAGCTTTCGGGATCGGTATTTAATCGAAAAGGGTAGCTGATACTATGGATATTGCCGCAAGAAGGAGCGCAGTAACTGTTGTCCTTTCCAGCACTGCAACCATGGTGGGTGGATAGGATCACTAGCAAAAGAAGGGCTGCATACGCACCACCAAAGAGGTGCCTTAATATTCCTCCAAACATTAAATGAGAGAGAAAAACTTCAGGGAAATAAAATATTGGGTTTGTTTAGACTTTCCTGAAAAGGTTTATAGGATATATATACAGACATCGACTACCATCTTGATCAATATGAAAGGAAATCAATGGCCACAAATTAAAGTCTTCGAATTATTGCATGGTCACTGTCCCACAGATAAAGCATTAGGAAATTACATGAAGAGTTCCCACAAAAGAAGCGGAAGACCTCTAATTCATGGCTTCCACTTAGTAAGTCAAGCTCGTCAACGTCCATCATGAGCCCATTCAAAATGCGACGCAGACGATCCAAAATAGCGAAGAAAAAAAGGAAAACAAAATGTAAGGAGCCTTCACTTGAAGTTTCCAAGGCAAAACAAAACAATTAATTACAGTAAGGAGAAACGCACTCGGTCATGATCAACGCTTACAGAAAGCTTACGATCAAAAGACATCTGGTCCTTCCTGTCTTCCTGACACGACGAAGACTCAGAGAAAAAGTAAAGACGTACGTGGGACGCATTTGGTCATGATCAACGCTAACAGAAACCTGACGATCAAAACGCACATTTTCCTATCTTTTGTTTTCTTTACTTTAGTATTGTCGGGTTGCCGACACAGCGAAGACCCTTACTACAGTAAGCATGAAGCCGTGAAAATATTATAGATTTCTTTTAATTTAGTCCTTACTAATTAAATATTAAGTATAACAAATATGCTAAAATACATAGGAGAATCACTGTGGCTATAGACTCACTTCATTATTCACTACAATATAGGAGTGATGTCTATAACCTTGGCAAAACAAATTATTTATCTTTGATTTGATTAAGGGGTATTTTAATATTTTCACATGAATTATTTGTTAATATTGATTTGTGTGAGGGTATTTTTATGTATATAATATTTTTTATAAATAGTAAAATAACAAAAGTACCTCTTAGAATAAAAAAAATCAATTTTTCAAGTAGGGGTATTTATGTATTTTTTTCTTATAAATAGTTGAATTATAAAATATATACTTGGATCCAAGAAACTTAATGTATTGGGTCGAGTCAGGGTATTAAAGTCCTTTGGTTCCTCTTTTTTGGTTAATTATTGGTTTGCATGGGGTAGTGTCATAATTTATCATTAAAATAATATTTTTAATTAGAAAAAATGCATGCACGAGTGGAAGATGCGGCATCTTTTGGGCAGCATTTGCAGTGTCTCCTGGTTGTCAAAAATAGGATTTTGTTGTATAGTTTGATTTTCTCGTAGTCTCTTCTTCCATTCTAGATGGCTTGTGTAATCTAAATATTCTTGGTTTATCGTTTATGATTCTTTTTTTTCACTTCATTCTCTTTTCTATCAAAAAATAAAAAAAATAACATTATTTCATACTAATAGATCTGTAAAATTTAAAAACACCTCTTTCCAGGCCAATGTATCTATCAAATTCAAAAGACAGTTTTCATTTAAATTAATCGAACAACTTGGCAAAAGGTGTGATGCATAATTAATTAATTTAATTATTTATCTTATATATATATATATCATCGGATTGTTGTATGGTCACTGTCCGTCTGATCAGCATTTGGAAATTACGTGAAGACTTCCCACGAGAGAAGTGGAAGGCCTCTTTATGGCCTCCACTAACATCGTAAGCCCGTTCTAAATGCGAAGCAGACGAGCCGAAACAGTGAGAGAGAGAAAAATAGAAAAGAATTGCAGCCAACAAGACAAAATGTAAGAAATAACACATTCGGTCATGATCAACGCTCACATAAAGCTAACGATCAAAAGGCACATGGTGAAAATAATTTTGATTTTTTTAAAATTATTTTAATACATTGATATCAAAAATAATTTTTAAAAAATAAAAAATATTATTATTTTAATATATTTTTTTAGATAAAAAATAATTTAAAAATCAACTACTATAACACATTTAAACACTTTAAAAATCTATATAATTGAATTTGTGGTTAAGCATTATTGCTGAAAAGTTCTTGGTAAAAAAATGATAACATTTAAAAATCTTAAACTGTGAAACATTACGAATTAGAGATAAGATTGAGTTTATATATTGGTATTGACATATATATATATATA